CATCACATCACTTTGTACCCCATAAATAATACACTTATAATTTGTCAATAAAAACTTTCAAAAACCAAATATATAAAAGAGAACTAAAGTGAATTCTTTGAAAATACTAGTAAAATATACATTCTTTAGAAGGTCAAATCAGGAAAAAAGGAAAATAACACAACTGACTAACATCAATAACTTGATAAATCATAAGTAAGTAATGATACAAAAGACTAAAAGTTATTACAGATCACATGTTAATAAGTATGAACCACTAATTGAGGCTTGTGGATCAATAAATAAAACATTTCTAGAAAAATTAACTGTACCCCAGTAAGAATGACCATCATTAATAAAACAACAGATGATGGAGAGGATGCAGATAAAAAGGAGAGCTTCTACACTGCTGGTGAGAATGCAAGCTACTGCAACTTCTTTGGAAAAAAGTGTAGAGATTTCTGAAAGTACTAGACATTGACCTTCCATATGACCCAGCAATTCCCCTATTGGAATATGCCAGGAGGAACTCAAATCATTCTACAAAAAAGATACCTGTAAACACGTTTATTTAAGCACTATTCACAATTGTAAAAACATGGAACCAACCGTGTTGCCCATCGAAACCAAACTGGATTTTTAAAATGTGTTACATATACACAATGAAATATTATGCAGCCATAAAAGAGGACAAACATATGGACTTCGCAGCAACTTGTATAGATTTAGAGTCTAACATATTCAGTGATCTACTACAGAAACAAAGAACAGAGTATCATATGTTTCACTCATAAGCATACCTTGAACAATTATAATACTATAAGAAAAGGATTGACAGTAGTAGGAAACTGCCAGGGAAGGGGGGGAAAGTCACACCTCATCAACAAGGGTAACTGCATAATGAACATTTGTATACTTAACCCTGAATTGTACCCCACAAAGAAGAATTAAAAGTGAAAAAGTAAAAAAGAAAAAAATAAGCTGTAATCAGAGTTGTGCTTCAGAGGGTGATACTTTGTATAAAATAAATTTTAGAGAGTGGGATAAGATGACTGGATTAATGATGGCATTTCAAGAAACTACCTAAACTTATGTGGTCTTGAAAAAAATGATTGCTGCTAAGGAGACCGATAAATAACAAAAATAAAAATTTGATGCACAGAGATCAAACAAGGTTCGCCAACTGCTCATTCTGAAGATGTAGAAAAGCAGATCTCTAATTTAAAACCCTGGTGAATGTCATCAAAAGAAGTAGAGAAATTAAAATTATTTATATATATTAATATTAATTTTTATATATTAATTTAATATATAAATTATACATATTAATTTATATATATTATATATAAATATTAATATATATAGATGTATAGGAAAGATAGTAAGCTTAGTTTGTAAATACATTGAATAATACATGACAGAAAAACAGAATAGTGTAAAAAGGAAAAAGATGGATTTAAAGAAACTATCCATTCCTCATATATTTTAGGTTGAGAACTAGGTTGTTTCATTGGTCATAGAGGTAAATCAAAAGAGACATGGGACAGTACGGATGGGCGGTTCCAATTATTCCTATTTAATTTGGCAGTCGTCAAGGCTGTTGCCTCTGCAAGTGTGTGTCTTTATGAAGACAGAAAGGGTATATTATTTCATGAATCAAACTGAGAACCCATTCTAGGTTTGCAAGATATGGTACAAATGTTAGGCTGGCATCAAAGTTTGGAAGGTTCCTTCACTACTGCATTTATTTAGTCAAGGGAATTCTAAGTCTTCTGAGACTAGGGCAGCACTTGATTTTTTGTGTGTGTGTGTGTGTGGTTATTGTTAAAATATTTTCCCAAAAAGTGCGATTTTAAAAAGAAAAATATACGGATCACCATAAATATAAAATATTAATTTTGTCTTTATAATATATAGCTTTACTGCCTGTGAATATTTATTTTAAATGTTATGTAAAATATTATATTATTTTCACCATTAAAAATTTTCAGTTCAGTAATTAATATATTTCATGTAATATTTGATCATTCCAAACTCCCTAGAAATCTCATGATTTCATAAACTGCCTATATTATTTCTTTTTAGTTTGCAGTATTATTAAAAATCTCCTTTAATAAAAAACATCCATGTCTTTCCTAAAATTAGAATAACGAATGAGAGTATATAATGATAAAGAAAGTTATCAAGAAGATAGGGGATTAACTTTTATTCCTGGTTTAATATTGATTGATTTTTTTCCTTTGACTGTTTTCCGCCTAAAATTAAAATGTTCCAATATTTTTCTTAAGAAATTGAAAGTTATCTTTTCAGTGAGTAATGTGCTTAGGCCACAATAGGTCTATAAGAAAAATATAGAATAAGATTTTCCTGAATTTATAGTAATAGTATTACTAGTAATGATTACATTAACATTTGCATTTCCTCATATAAAAATTGCTTTTGTTTTTTGTGGAGTGCTCAGTGTCATTCTCTTTTTGTCAAAAAGTAAATTAAATAGCTCAAAGCGGCTTTGTGCAGAAGTGTTTGCTCCTTTATTATGTTCTAGAGGGTTGGGAATACAGCTATCGCCTTTCTTTGCAGAAGGCAGTATAATAACTCTGACAAGAATATAAGCAGAGCTGTTAGGAAAGGCTAAATGCAAATAACATGGCTCAAGTCCTGGCTGGGGAATAACTAGCACAAGTGTGATCCATTGTGACCATGAGCTTAGGATTTTATTTGTATTACTTCTACACAAAGAAGGGCATTTGATAAAGTTTTAAATGAAAAAAAAAAGCAACTCTCTTCCATTTGTCTTCTTTATTATTTAGAACTGGACTAGCAAAACAGCTCTCTTTCACTTCTTAAACCCTGCTTAATGATTTCTCAATGTTTTAACATGGGAAGCTTTATTTTAAATCAGTAAGAATCTAGCATCTCTTACCTTTACAACGAAAAATGCCTGTAACAAATTAGCTGAAACAAATCCACTTTGGTTGTTTGTTTTCTCCATAATCATAGAGTATTACATAAAACTCTGAGATGTGAGGCAAAATGTTATGGTTCAACATATAGGGTTCTGGGCATAGGACTCTTTTTCCCAAATTATTTCATTCACATAATTTTTTTTAATTTCATCTGCAGATACAAGACCAACCTAGTAGATTGACATTTAAAATTATTGATCAATTGAACCTATGACTTTTTTTTTTTTTTTTTTGAGTTGGAGTCTCTCTGTCACCCAGACTGGAGTGCAGTGGCCTCTCCCGGCCACCACAGCCTCGACCTGCTGGGCTCCGGCAATCCTTCCGCCTCAGCCTTCCGAGTAGCCGGAATTACAGGCACGCGCTACCACGCCCGGCTGATTTTTTGATTTATTGTAGAGATGAGGTCTCGCCTGCCCAGGCGGGTTTCGAACCCAATTCACTCACCTCAGCCTTCCAAAGGCACAGGATTACAGGCTGCCCCACCAAGCCCGGCTGAACCTATGACTTTTTAAAGTGATTTATTGTTTGCTTTTAACAATAATACATTGTCTAATGTTCATAGTTTTTAGCCTAAAATTCATTCATCCAATATAAACATCTTTTTTATCGCATGTTATCTTCAAGATTTATCTTGATTTTATACCTAAATAATGACAACTTTTGAAAGTTTAATTAGAGACTATCAATAGCAAACATCATTTTGGGAGCCAATTTATAGTAATGTTTTATTACCTATTTGTTCACTTTACAAACACTCATACTATATCTTATCAAGATCTAACCAGTAGAAGGAGAAAAAATGCATGCTAAAGAATGGAACTCTTTAATCATTAACTAAGACATAATGTCCCAATTAGACAGTCAGATATCCAAACCACTTGAAGAAATCTTGAATTCAGTTCTCAAAAAGACAAAGTCAATCAAAACTAAAAGTTATCCACCATCTAAAAAACAGGTATAGATTTCTTTTTGACTTTTAAAAAATTATTTAATTTAGTAGTTTTTTGTGGAAAAAAAGCAATAAGGCAAAAAAACTGAAAATATATATTGTTTTGTTTTGTTTTGATGTGACTTTATTCCACCTGAACAACCCTAAACTTCTTCCATTAGCAGGAATCTGACTGGGCATCAACACAGAAATGTAGTGCAGATGGTGGAGGAAGGAAAGGGGAGAAAGCAGGAAAGTCCAGTTTAGTTGAGGAACTCCCATCCGATCTAAAGACCCTGATGAGGTCACCACTTTTATGGGTCCCCTTGAAAGAAGTCCCTTGCTTGCGTTGGGAACAGGGTTCTTAGGAGGAAATTCCCCAGCAAATTCTCTCATGTTTATCACAGCTAGGAAGGAAGGGATGGTGGGAAGAAATAAAATTATTAATTGGCCCAGTATAAATCCAATTTCCCTGGAGGAATGGCTTCCTTTGGAATGATTTTCCCCCCCAGGACCCACACTGGCTGAGGCTCAGCAGTTAAGGAACAAAAACAAAAAACACTAACAAAAAGCATCCAAAGAAGGCACCTCAATTTGTGATCCTCAGCCAAGGGTGGGTTGTGTTTCTGAACAAGACAACTGAAACAGAGAACAGACAGAGAAGGAAGCCAGAGCTCAACAGGAGCAGTTCTCTTGACGACCCACATGACGGTGCTCTCAGTCCTGCATCCTAGGAAGAAAGTTCTTTTGGGATTTAGCCTATGTGCCAGACAGAAGCAGAACTAAACTGAAAGTTACCCCTGACGTTCTACTCATACTCTCCCTATCAAAAGAAAGAAAAGAGGCAGGAAAAAGGTTAGGATTTCATTTTCAAGAGTCAGCTATTTAGGAGAGCAGAGTTTAGACAGTGGCAGGCATCCCGTGCTACAACCAGAGACAAAGTCCCTCAGTAACTGCTAGACGTGATCCTGCTTAGGCTTCCAATCTGTGTCTGCTCCTAAGGGATGAAAAGCAAAGGAGCTCCAAACCACATCAACGTGTGTCCAAGAGAGTCCCAGGGAGATGAGGGATTGTCAGAAAACAAGATTCTTAATAGGAAAGAGGAAAATCAAACCCCAAAAATTAGATTTTTCTCTACATATATATAATATACAGATATTTAACACATTATTCCAGAGGTGACTCCAGTTCATGGGGCTTGAGAGATGGTGAAAACTTTTGTTTCAGATTAACTTCTTCTCTCAAATTCTGAAGTACATCGGAATGGGACAGGCAATGTTTTGCTCCAGGTTGGGGCACACACCCAAACTGATATTGTGCCAGGAAAGAGAAGCCAGAAAGACAATGAAGAATGGGGGTGAGGGGAGTTGGGAAAGCAAAAGTGGCTAGCAGTCTTTTTCCATCCTGCCTGTGTTCTCAGAAACTCTCCACCTGAGGAAGTCCGTAAAACCCCTGTGAGGAGAATGCAACCCTCTTACCAACCACCAAAGTGGTCTCCAGTTTCTGTCAAAGATGGTAGACAGCAGAGGGGTGTTTGTCACAAGTAAAAATAGAAACTTCCAAGTCTGTAATTCTGAATATTCCAGCCCTACAAAACAATCTCTCTCGCAGGTGTCCCAATAACTTAGTTATCTCTGCATGAATACTCTATTAAACCCAATTCCTGTGAACACATTTGATGTTATACCTAAGCTTCATCGCAACCATTCATGATGCCTCTGTCAGTAAGTCTTATGTGTTTCTTTTTTAAGGAACTTCTAAAATCAGCTCTTGCTCTGAACAGCACCAAAATGCCCCTGAATCATAATCTTACACAGATCTTGGCTGAGCAGGATACAAGGGGCCGGTGAATGACATCAACTCAAATGGGGGCAGAAGGAGAAAGAAGAGTCAAGAAAACTTGACTTTGCAGATGTGGAATAACACGAACCTTCAGTCACTAAACCTCTCCCTTAACACACATAGGTATCTAGTATGTCAATTTCAGTTTCAATCAGATAAGGCAACCAGTCAATCACCACCACTGCTGTCTGCTTCTGGTGATTGATTTGGAAAAAATGATTGGTCAAGACAGACAAACTTGAGGAAAGCACTTGGTAAGAGAGTCACAACTGCCAGCTTTCCCACACATCTTCTGTCCTCTTCTCCATTAGATCCTCCTCCTTGTTGTTGCTGCCATTTCAGAAAATGTCCGGCATGAGCTCCAGTCCTGTTTTTCTTTACACTCCCAATATTCTCCCCTGTAAATATGGGTTAACTCCTTGGTAACAGGGTCTTTCTTCCGTTCAAACCACAGGGCTTTATAGGGACCATATGGAGTGCCATCCTCTGTGGCTTTCAAAGCTTCTGCTTCTCTCTTCTTTCTGGAAAGTCTTTGTTTTTCCTCCAGGTGCTGCTTCTCAGCATTTGCTTCATCCCAGCGCCCATTTTCCATCCGCCTCTGGTCAGGCCGTAACCGGCTGTCTGTGGGGGCAGTTCCACTTTCCCAGGCATTGAGAGTTAGAGCAAGCTCTGACAAGTAGTACATGTTTTCTGCATTCTTTGGTAAAGGATTCCTTTTCCATAGCATGACCCTACTTTCCTCTGTTTCATGGCCTCTCTGGCGAGCATTACTCTCATTTTCCCCAATGACTGGTTGTACTTTGAAACATTCCATTTTTTCATCCTACGTCCCCAGAAAGGTAAAGTGAACTTTTCCTGATGGATCTGTCACTTCCCCTGTCACCTTTCTTGCTACATCCCTAGAGAAGTAGCTATAAGGAACAAATTTAAGATTACACTTGTCTCCCATCTTGTGATTCACAACATCGATTTCACCAGACTGATCTATCCACAATTTGCCCACAATAATGTTGTGTACTGTTGGTATAACTTTTTTCCAAGTATAGTGGTGCCCAGTTGCATGGAAAATACAATGGATGGTACCAAGGGGCATAATGGAGAGGTATTTGCCTTGAAACTTGCTGGTGATTGTGATTTCCTGATGCAATGTCCAGCCATTTTTGAACTCAGCATGGTGTGCAGCAGCAGGGGGATGATGACTCACCTGCTCACAGAGGGATCGGTACCCATTCTCCTCTAATTGGTCCAGTTCAAAGGTCTCCCCAAGGAGTGGGTTGAATGGCTTACTCGTACGGAAGACAGTAGTAGAATAGGAGGACACGGTGAAAGCTGCAACATAACAGAGCTGTTCTAGAGAGTTCTCACATTTTCCAGCTCGATCTAACAGCTCATGATATTCCAGATCTTCAGTAAGGCGCTGAAGCATGGACAAGGGCTCATTAAAGTTCACCGGCATGGGGATCTGAGGGAGTTCTTTTCCAATGCAGTTCTTCATAATGCTCCATAAATTGAGGCTATAGTTTGGCTTATATGGTATTCTGGTTCTCTTTTCCTTCTTGGTCTCCTCCAGCTGATGCTTGTACTGTTCACAAAGGCTGATGTCACTGCTGGCACCACTGATATTGTTGCCACTATGTTTGTGGCCCAAATTTTCAGGCATGGTGATGATTTCAGGTGCATCGAAAAATTCATTCTCATCATCCTCATCACTCATGTCCCCTTTGCCAGAGTAGCACTGATCTTTATCAGAACCTGCACTGCCAGGAGTGTTTGCTGGCAGCACTGTGGCTCCTCTGAAGGCCCTCTCCAGGTGATTATGCTGCTTTGCCAGCTGCTCGAGGGTCTCTTCCAGTCGGATACGCTGGTCTTTCTCATACTGTAGTGATTTTCGCCATTTTTTACTATGGGTCTGGGCTAACATGAGAAAATCTCTGCAGGCATTGATCATGGCATTGGATGTTATCCTAAAGAGTGTGGCTCGTTCGTTGACCTGTTTGATCTTTTCGTTACTCTCAGCAGGCAACTTCAGGGACTCCAGCTCACTGAGGGAACGCTGCAGAGCTATGCCGTGCTTAGCTATCAAGTCATTGCAGGTGCTCAAGTCCTCTACTTTGCTGGAGAGGGTCCGAAGGGTATTCTGGAGCTCGGTCTTGTCAGTTTGTGAGACAGACCCTTCATCTCCTGACTCATCTGATTCTGCCAGCATCTTCACAGCTTTGGCCTTGGCTAGTTCCAGGGCTGTCACCCAGCGTTGGCGCTCCACTTCCGAACTAGCCTTCAGATGGTAGGTCTGAGCACCCCCATTGGAAATGATGAAGTTGCAGGAGTCCTCCACGGTGATGTTGGCTGTGGGAAGGTTGATGGTACTACGGCAGGTATGTCTCATTTCTGCCTTTGACCTGTAGTAGCTCAGGAGTCCGTTGCTCAGCGCGAACCACCGCCGCTGGTAGCCTTTGATATCATGGGTCCATTTGAAGAGCCAGCCTTCT